AAAAAAAAAAAAGAAGCAACAGTAACAGCAACAGTATCCAAATAAAAATTAAAATTTATAGTCTAAAAAAAATAAATAATTGATCAAAATCTTAAAATAAAAAATTGTCTTTCTGTAGATTTTTCTTTGCCTATTCTTTTCAATTTTTTCCTTTTTGTTCTTCTAAGACTTAAACTATAACGACAGAATATTTTCAGGCTGTTAATGGTATATGCAAAAAAAGCAACCTTCTTTTAAAGTTTATTTACTATTTGAATAGTACTCAACATAACCAATTAAGCAAATTATTGATTTAAATAAGATACTCTTCTAAATATTTCCTAAATACATTCAAATGTTTATAAGGTGTAAATATTTCAAACGATTCGGATGTGATAAAAAACTGTTGTTAACTGACATTGATCAACGTTGGCGGTAAGAATAATTGTACAAGCATTGATCTACTTCCTTAATAATCTTTAGGAAACAGACTCTTGTTCTGAGTAAATTGCGTTAAATATAGTTAGCTATGATCTAGTAATCGTCTAATTATCAAATCAACCAATTTTTGCTACTACATCGATCATGACTACTTTATTTTTTTTTTCAATCAACTTCGTGTTTTCTATCTTTTGGCCTTCGAACTGTCGACTATCATATTGAACGAGACGTTGGGAGAAGGACTGGGTACGGTTGTTGTATGGTGGTTATTTGCCTTTGCACTGGTCTTGCTCTATTTTAGTGCATTTATTTTGACTAAACTTAATCTTTGCTAAGTTTTTTTGACACTTACTGCTATATATATATACGTTAATCAACTGCTTTTTATGTTTATTTTTTCTTTCACCACTTTTTGCTTTTAACAGATTTATGAGAAACAATTAAGTGTTGCTATATAAACTGTTGTAAGAAGAAGCAAGAAGTTGGAAAGATGATAACTGCTGTGAACGATAAATAAAAATGTTTTTAAAGTAATGATCAAATAAAATTACGTGTTTGTTTTTAATAGTTTTTCTTCTTGTAATATATTTGTTTTAATTTCGCTTTTTTTTTGTCTCGATTGCTATTATTTTGACTGTTTCACTGAAGTTTAATGATAATATGCTTTCACTGTTATAAACAGGCTAAAATAAGTATGTTTTGCAATTATTGCTACACTGATGATATATTATATATAAATGCGATTATTCATTCATTGAAAAAATGAGTCATTATAAAAGCCTTATTCTTATGCAAAATTTGTCGATATTATATAAAAGTGAAAGAAATTTGTTGTTTACTAAAGTCAAAAGCACTGTTAAACAGAAAATAATTTAGCAAAAGTTTGAATCGTTTGATATTTTAGTGAACGCTTTTTTTAAACTGTTACAGAATCGATTAAATAGCGATATAAGAAAAAAATACGCAAGTGTGTAAGAAATCAAAAATTTTGATAAAGATGTCACAATTTCAAATTGCAAACCAAATTTTTTTATTTGAAACGATGCTGTATTAAAAGATGCCATTCAAGAACTAACAACAATTCACTTAGTACCTGCAATATTTATGATTTTCATGTAAGAGAAACAATGTTGTTCTACAGAAGTTTACAGTATCTGAATGCTACAAGAAGAAAGTGATCAAATTGAAGGTACAGACAGATTCACAGAGCCATTGTACCAAAAGCTATACTACACGCTTTATTTTTTGGCAATTCTCAATGCAACCTCACGAATAATGCTGAGTTAACCAGATTTCTGTAAGTTGCAACTGTTTATGAGCTTTAGGAGAAGCTGTGTTTTTGTAACGTGCAAAAAATGATGAAAATGCATATTTTGATGTTAGAATACTTGTTAGCAACAAGTCGATGCTGTAAAAATAAGTGAAAACAAAAAGCTGTAGCAAAAATAAAAAATAATAATAGAGAATTACAGAAAGAAGTTGAAGAAAATTTAAAGTAGGAATCTGTAAGTGGGAAGATTAGTAGACTAAGAGAGTTTTACTACTTTTATTTTATTCATTCTTCAACTATTTAATTTGAAAGTTTTTCTCACTTTTTTCGAGTTAATTGAATTGTTCGCTGAAGAGCAGAGTGAAATTATAATTTCTCAGGAAATTCATCGTTTAGCAACAAAAGTATTTGTTTTAACTGCTGTTGCTGAAAAGCGAAAAAGATGAGAAACTCTCTCGTGTCTCGAGCGCAGATAAGAAAAAGAAGATAAATCCAAAAAGAAAGAAGAATTGCCAAAAACATCAAGACCGAGAATCAAGAAAATAAAAAAGAATCTAAAGAAGAGACCGTTCAAATGGAATATATATAAAGAATCAAAGAAACAGTAGTGATGAGAAGCTTGCATCTAGTTAACTAAAGTGTTCATCTACTGTGATAGCCTTTCGAAGTTTTAGTTTTGTTAAAATCGTCGTTAGTTGTTAATAACTGTTGTTGTTTCACATCTTTGTTGCTTTATATATTTTTTTGGAAGTTTAATTACCCAAGTTTGAAGAATTAATTAAATGATTATTGACAAAGTTCAACGAAAGACCCGGATTACAGAACTGGTGACTAAATATTCTAAGCAAGTCAGCAAGTTGCTTTATAACTTTTCAGAGTTTCTAAAACTCTAAATTGGTGTGTTATCAATAAACACAAAAACTACTGACTTTCACTGGACAAATTTCTTTCATTGTTAAATTTAAATTTACTTTATTTTTTTAAAATGTTTGTACATTGTTGTTTAACATATCTTTGACATTTGTAAAATTTCATGGCAAAGTAAGAAAATTGTTAACTGTAAAATTTATTTGCACCAGAAAATTGTTTTTACCTAAGTATTTATTAGTAACTCATATTTCTGATTGGTCATCACACTTAAATTTTCAAAGATTAAAAGATAAATTTTTGACGTAAATATTTTCAAGCTTTGCAAATAGTTCATTTTTCTTCTAAGCCATATCGCACAAAAGTTAAGTTAATTTATTGCCGCAACTAGAATTCGCTTTTTTTTCTACAAGTTTACCACTCATTCTTTACGACAACTAAACCATGGCTCAGCTTGTAATCCCAGATAGTGACGGGTTGCAACTACCTTTGAAAAACATCCAATTTAATTATGCTACAAACGTTTGATTTTTGTATAATCAATGACATATAACGGTCAGTTGAACGAATAGTTAAAAGCAGTTAAAAACATTTTTTTTCAGTGTTTTTTTTTTTACATTTTTTGTCGCTTATATACCAAAATTATCAAAACTTTTGTAAAACTTATCAGCTATCAGTCAGTTTAGTGTAAAAGAAACACTGAAATATGAGGTTTTTTGAAAATACGAATAGAAACTGTTGAAGAATATGCGATTAGAAGAAATGATTGCAGTTAGAAATGTTCGTCAATTGCCGTTTTGCAGAGCAGTAATGGTAAAAGTGAAAAAGAGAAAGCGATTAATAATAAAAGAATTTATTGGAAATTACTGTTTTTTTTAGGAGATCTATGTTGTGCATTGAGAACAAATACTTCTGAACTAAAAAAAAAAAAGAAGAATGAAAAAATTTTTTTTTTAAGTTTACGATAATGTTAAAAAAAAGGAACTTATACTGCTGTATCGCAAAAAGTGAATTGCTTTAACAAGTCAAATCATTTAAGTTATTTTTTTCTGCAAGGTATTGATTAGAACAAAAAAATGAAAATAATAAAGTCAGTCTGTTTCTCGAAAAAAAAATTGAAATGTTTATGGTGAAAAGTAAAAACTTTAAAAAAATCATGAAAAAAGCTTTGCATCATATAATAGTGTTTCAGTTGAGCTTCTTAAGCAGTTTTGCTGTGGTTAGTAGAAAAGATTCTTTTTTCTTGCTTGCCACATCTCTGGCCACATTTCTTTTCATTTGCTCAAATTATTTCACTTAAGAATCTCGTTGATAAAGATTCATTTTTCACATAAATACTTTTTTTTTTTTTTGATATGATCATCAATCTTTTGTTCGAGACGATACGTTTAAGTTTATAATACGATTTTGATTTCTAGTGATTAGTGACGTTCTTGTTTCCTGATTTTAAAGATATCGATTTTTCCTTCAACTTATGTTGATATTTTGGCATAAAAACAGCTGGGTGGTATAAGGCTAGAAATTTAATGTTGCAATAATGGTTTTTGATTTGAAAAAAAAAAAAAAGATTGTTGGTTCTGATGTACCTAATTCTTAAAAATTAAAACATATGATAGAGAATTTGAAGGTAGAGCTATACAACAGATGTATAAAAGCAAACTTTTTTCTTAGGACAAAATATCTTGACAAATGTCATTTATTGTATTGGATTTCTAAACTTTACAGTGCTGATGGCAAATTAAGCAAATTTGCTTAGTGAGTTTCTTCCATAGGTGGTTTTCAAGTCTGTCTTTTTGATGCAGTAATTTCGTCTTGTCTGATAGGCATCATTTGATATTATGTTGGGTTCTGTTTGACAGTTAGATGGGACAACTGTGCGACTAAAGAAATGATAGGTAAAATTTAACAATAAGTTTAAGTTCTGCATTATAAAAAATTATCATTTTACTTTGATCAAGGTTTTCTACCAAAATTTAGTATGACCTGCAATCTTAAAATCTGCAACTTACTTTCTGCTTGCAGCCGGCGCTCAATAGATAAATAACCAACACACAAATGCACCATTGTCAGTATGCAGGCGACGATTGCTTCCTCTATAAAATGACATATTATAATCATTCTTGGCAAATAA